AGGCTCATGGTCCTTCAGAGGAACTACTGCTTCCATCCCAAGCCAGCTCTAAATTAAGCCTCTTCTTATGGACCCAACCTGTTCTGTTCTTGCCTTTTTAGTCTTTTAATCATTCTTCTCTGGTAGTGAGTCAAAAACTAGGCGTTCTAGGTTTCTTTGCCTCCTGCTTGACAAGATTTTTTTTTTTTTTTTAATGTTAGACACTGGTTAATTTGAGTCATTTAATCCTCGCAAAACCTTTATGTGGAAGATCAGATTATTTCCTCTCTAATTCCAGAATTTGGTAGAGAAAGTGACCATTTAGGAACCTGGGGATGAAGGTGAAGCAGGAAGTGCTCAGGATCTCTAGGAAAAGCGATTCTCTCTGTGTGGGATGCTGAGAGGTTTCCCTTCATTTCTTATACTGCTCCATATTTCTAAATTGTGTACAATAAGCACATATTACCCTTATTAGAAATAAATGTTTTAAAAATAAAGGAAAATGAGAGTCACATGTACTTAGAACATTTGGAAAGTATAGAAAATTATTTTTAAAATGCTAACAGCTTACATGTATGCATAGTCTTTGTAAACTTTTTGGCATTTGTTTCTAGTCTTTTTATCTGTAGACAATTGAAACTTTTTACACAGTTGTAATCATTTCTGGTTTTTCTCCATTAAAAAGTAGGATGCCATACCCATATCTTGATGGATGGTCTATAAAATTGATGCTTTCCTCCTCACCATTTCCTGTGCTGCCTTCTCCCCTTGTCTTGAGCTACAATCTCTGACACATGTACATTGCATAGAAAGCCCCATTTGATTAACAGATATCACTGTGACAAGCATGAAAGAAAGAAAAAAAGAAAAGCTTATTTGTCCCCTCTTCTCATTAACACATACCTCATTAATAATACCCTTTATGTTTTTTCATAGTGATTCAGTCTACATATTTATATATTCATTCATTTAACAAATATTTGTTCAGTACTTTCTAAATGCCAACCAGCCATTTTACTCTTCAGCAAACATGCAGAGACAATAGAAGATTCCCTGTTCTTTAGGAGAATGTGGTTGCATAAATAGGAAAAAGAGCAATGTGTTGTTGAAATGTAGAAATATTAAAAAGTTCTGTTAAACCAGAGAGGAGACTCAGTTGGATTTCAGAGACTCAAGTAATTCTCCTGGAGAAATCAAGGAAAGATTTTATCAGATAAGAAAATGGTTCTCAGAGAGATTTTTTTTCCCAACTGGTTAGTGGCTGAGTTAGCATTTAAATCCTGTTCTTTGCACCAAACAATGTCATAGGAAGGCTCCCCTTTTTTCCTTACGTTGTAAACTCTAGGTGTTGGTGTTTGGAAATTCCTGGGTTGGGGACTGCTGCACCCCTTTTCCTTCTCCCATTTCAGAATGTCATCAGTTTTTGATAAGATCAAAATAGGAGTAAAAGGGAGAGGAGATATGAATTCTCTAGACCAGCTTTATCTGTTTAATTAGATAATCATGATCTTGCTATTCTGTGTTTTTAGGTCTCACTACCAATCTCAAAAGTAAAAGACTGAGCTAAATCTAAGCCTTTAATTCTTAAGATAAGTAATGGGTCATGATTTTGTCCTTCTGTTCAAATGCCAAATGTGGCATTTCAAACACCTTGAGAAGTGATGCGTCATAACAAGGACTCTCGATTGCCAGCTTTGAATCTCAACACTGTCACTTACACACTGTCTAATCTTGAACAAGGCACTTAACCCCCTTGAGCCTCAGATTTCTAATTTATAAAATAGAAATAATAATAATAACTGGTTCTTGCACAGATTTGATATGGAGATTCATTCCAGTGAGCTTATGTGTTGGAACCCCTTTGCACAGTGTCTGGTACATAGTATTCAGTAAATATATCCGATGATACTAGTATTGAGTGAGTACTAATTTGAAATTCTGAGCAGTTTTAAAGTCAAAAATACAATAGCAGGGGCTGGGGATGTGGCTCAAGCGGTAGTGCGCTTGCCTCGCATGCGTG